GTCATCCTTATGCAGGGGCCATGCTAATCTTCTCTGTATCATTCCAATTTTAGTATATGTACTGCCGAAATAAGCATTCTGCTCATTTTCTCATCTGTACAACAAGGATCATTCTGAGATCACCTCACAGGCCTGTTGGGATCATAACACATGTATAGTGGTTACTGCAGTGCCTGCCACGGCTAGAAGTCCAATGTCCGCTGTTACTGTAGCTGTGAATAACTGGACGGTCTCCAAGTATACTAAGAACTCACCCTCCATGCCGTCTGCCTGGAATGTTCTCCTCTTATGCTAGCAGATTCCTACCTCCTTTAGAAGGTCTCTACTGATCTCCCACCACTGAGCTTTGTTCCCTGCTCTGGGACCCACTGTCCATGTGCACCCCCATCACAACCTTGAGGAACCTGGGGCTGAGCTGTTTGCCCCTGAGGGGCAGGGCAGAAACGTGACTTGTCTCTTACCCCAAGCATCGCCCAGCACTCAGGGAGGACTTAGGACACTCAAGCTGATAAAGAATCAACGAGACACACTTAGAGAGCAAGGCCATCTGTACTTGTGCATGTTCCTAACACACTATAGGCCTCCTGGGTCGAGCCCCGTGTCTGACTCATTCCTGGGTCTCCAGCATCACTGTCTGCAGCTGAGCACTAGGGCACCTATAGGTTTCCTTCCATTGTTAAAAGTGAGATTAAGGAAGCCCAGAGAAGTCAGTACCTTCCTCCACCAGGCATGGCTGAGTCCTGGGTGCTGGAAGTCCAGGGAAGCTCGGGCTGGGGGGACAGCAAAGGACCTAAAGATGTATGGGGCACATACCTGAGCACACGGCCAGGGCTCAGGAAAGGTTACCTGATGTTTCTGGGTAGCAGGGTGATGCAAAGAACCTTGGCAAACCCTGCTGTGGGGTGACCTGGGACAGATCGTATCACATCTCAGAGCTTCAGTTTCCCCTCAGTCAGAGAAAGGTGACAAGAGAAACCTGGCAGGGCTGTTCTGAGGAGCCAGTGGGTAAGATGCCGGTAGATCCTGGAACCCATTGGGGTGGACTTGCCAGGGTGTGGTCCCCTTCCTCCCCAGAGGAGCCCACACTTGCTGCTGCAACCAAACTCTTATTGTTGCCCTTAGCTGTGTCACACGAAGGCCGTGTCCAACTGCAACAGCCCGCTCGCTTCACTGGCCCCCAGTGCCGCCTGGCACAGCTGCAGTGTGTCCTCAAGTGCCAGCGGCTGGGATGTCTCGATGATGGCGATGGTCTCCCCGAGCTCAGTGCACATGATAGTCTGCTGAGGCTGGGTGGGTGGGGGCGGGGCAGGAGGTGGTGATCTGGGCTGTAGTGTCATTGTCCGTGCTCGAGCATGGACCCGCTGGTGCAGGCGCAGGCCTGCCATGGCACGGAACCAGCGGCCACATGTCCCGCAGCAGTAGGGGCTCTTGTTGTAGAGACCAGTGATGGGGAGGCGGGGTGCTCGAGCGAAGGCCACTGGCCGCAGGTGCAGCCTCCGATGCTGCTGCAGGTTGGAGCTCTGTGTGAAGCGCTTACCACAGTCCAGGCATTGGTAGGGACGCACCCCTGTGTGGGTCAATTGGTGGCGGCTGAGATTGGCCAGAGAAGCAAAGGTCTTGCCACAGGAGTGGCATTGGAAGGGCCTCTCGCCCGTGTGTGTCCGCAGGTGGTTGTGCACATGGACCAGCTTCTTAAAGCCCTTGCCACAAACCCCGCAGCAGTGTCGTCGCTCAGGGGGCCCATGGACTGTTCGCCGGTGCCGAGAGAGGCGGGAGGCTGAGGCGAAGGACTTCGAGCACTGTGGGCAGGGCAGCTGGGCAGGCGGGGTAGGGGGCGGTGGTGGGGGCATGGGCTCAGCTGGAGTCAGGGAGGCTCCTGGTGTGAGGGGGGGCACTCCACTCTTGCCGGCGTGGGTGCGCCTGTGGTAGAGAAACTTGGTCATGTTGCTGAATGTCTTGCCACAGCGGCAGCGATGCAATGGGTTGGAGGTGTGGGCCCGCCGGTGGGCCACCAAAGTGAGTTCTGTGCTGAAGCCACGGCCACAGTCCACGCAGAGGTAGCGGGCTTCCCCTCGGTGCAGTCGCAGGTGCTGCTCCAATGAGGATGCTTTCTTGAAGACCTTGAAGCAGGTGGTACACTCGTGTGTGCCACCAACATGGGCCCGCCCATGAGCCAGCAGCCGGTTTGCTGAGCTGAAGCTGCGTTGGCACTGGCTGCAGCGGAAGGGGTGGGTTGTTGATGCTGGACCATGGGATGCCCGCCGGTGTCGTCGGCGTGCCCCTGCTGAGGTCCAGTGTTGGGGACAATCCCCACAGTTCTGGGTCCGGGTATCTGTGGACTTGTCGCCCTCTATAGCGTTGTCACCAACCTCTGAGGCCAACGCCTCCTCCTCCTCCTCTGTCTCATCATCTTCTTCATCCTCATCTTCCTCTAGCCCATTGCATTCCTCTTTCTCTAGGGAGTCAAAGTGGGTGCCTTGATGTTCCAAGAATTCCTCAGGGGTGGCACAGAGGGTACAGCATTCAGGACACTCATAGGGCTCCATCTTGACTCCAGGTGGAGCAGGAGATTGAGGTGGTGGTGCTGAGGGAGGGGGCGGGGGAGGCGGCAGCACTGGTGGCCTGGCTGCTGCAGTAGAAAGGTGCTGGGCCTTCCGATGAGCCACCCACAGCTCAGGCGAGGGGAACAGCTCCTGGCAGTCTCCACACTGGTACTGGATCTGGCTTGCAGACGCCTGCAGGTGGGAGTCCTGGTGGGCAAGGAGCTCACCACGGGAGAGGATGAGCTGGCTGCAGTCACCACACTGGAAAGGCCCATCCTCCGTACCTGGCACTAGCTCTGGCTCCAGGCCAGCGTCCTGGGTGGTCAGTGCCTCCTCCTCTGTGACAGTGGGCACATGCTGATCCTGGTGTGAGATGACTTCCTCCAGTGTGTTGTAGAGGCTGCCACACTCGGAGCACATGAACTGGTGGTGCTGGAAAAAGAGGGATGAGGCAAGGGCCTCCTCGGGTTTCATATCAGTCACCTCTGTTGACATCTCCATTGCCCTTG